GAGAGCGAGAGCGAGAGCGCGGCCACCAAACGGCATTTGTTGACAGCACATCATCGAGTGACTTTTGTACGCACGTACGCTCACATGGGAAACGACGGCAAGCTGCAATGTACACCAAAAGGCCAACAAACGCTCGAGGTGCCTCGAATAAGAAAGAAAGATATTCAGCTCCTGGTTTTTCGGCATTACGAGCTGAAATGTTTCATAGATAATACAGTAGTAGAGGCCTTATTCGTCGTAGAAACACCAGGACAATATGGATGTAGATGCGTTGATATTTCGGCAGCATCTCTTTATCGAAACAAATAGCAGCAGGGAACTGAAAATTGCCTACCGATGACGCCACTCAGTTTTTTTTAAACAATAAGTCACAGTTTTAACAGGCCACCGACATTCAGGGGATTAAGATAACAACAATTGCCAGCCATCACTACGACAAAGTGTATATCTAAGGATCAGAACACGCGAAAAATACGTGTACATGCAAGCGATTTCAAGTGAACAGGCATCGCGAATCACGCATAAAATAGGTACTCAAACAATTTCAGTTAAACAGGCATCAGGCATGTATGAAAGAAGCATGTATCAAACAGGCATCAGGCATGTATGAAAGAGGCATGTACGCGGGGTACCTGACGCGTGATGCGCAATGCTTGCTCAGTTGAAATAGTTCTGCATGCATAACTTAATGTAAAACTATTTGTCTTTACACGCACCAATTCTACATGTAAATAAATTTACATGTATCAGTGATACGTGATGCCTGTTCGCTTGGCATTGCTTGCATGTTTGACTGACGTGTGACGCCTGCTTACTTGAATTCGTTTTCATCACTGAATGTTGGTCGCCTGTTAAAACTGTGGCCCGCAATAAAAAACGACTAAAAATCCAGGAGGGTCATCGGCAGGCAACTTTGAAATCGCTACTGCTATTTGTTTCGACACAAGTATGTTGCGGGAATATCAACGCATCTACATCTCCATTCTCCAGGTTTTTCTACGACGAATAAGGCTAGTACTACTGTCTATCTATATGCATAATTCTTCTCGCAAACGCTCCTACTCCTGAATTTTTATGTTGGGTTAGCGGCCTTCTATACACCAAGGACGAGCGGACACAAATCAAAGCCTTCAGAGCCGCCAATATAATGTTACCATTACAACGTCCTTAACCAGCACCTCCTAGTATAATGCACGACGCTGACTCAACGAGCATTCAACTGACATATGTATAAAAAAACGAGATGTGCCGACGGAGCGAGCACAACGCAATACGTGCAACACAGAAGTATGTTTGTGCGAGTCCGAGTCCACCGAGGGACGGAAGCAAATAGCCTCTCCTTAACACACAAGAGTGCCGTCGAGTTCAACTGGAAGCTGACACCTGGACCAGGAGGGTACAACAGACCAGCACCTCACACAGCGAGCGCGTCCACATCGACCGGCTCTCTCGTGCGCGGTTCCGCTCGCCAACCCCTCCGGTGCCCGGTATATCGGGAGTCCGGGTACGTGCTATCACCACCTCCACCGGCCGGCCGGCAGGAAATGGGCGCCCGTCTCGCACGACCCGCTGACGACGGCACTGGCTAGTCACAAGCGCCGCCGAGGGGAGGGGGACGCCGACGCACCGTCCCCGCGGCCCGTCTCTTCTCACCTGGCAGTCCGGGGTGTCCGGACGGACGGGGCGCGCCGGCCGTCAGGCCGGACGACCCGGGCACGGCCGCCGCTGGGCCGGAGAGGCCGGCCGCGCCCGCCGCCAGGCCGGAGGGTCCGGGTGCGGCCGGCTCGGCCGTCCACTCGTCCGGACAGCTACGCTTCCTGTCCGTGCCGTCGGCGGATGGCTCATCGGCTGCACCGCGCTTGCTGACATCGGCGGCGGCGGCGGCGGCGGCAGCGGCAGGGGCAATCGGAGCCGGCAGCTCCTCATCCACCGGCGACAGGTGCTGCAGCAGCAAGGACCTGCCGAGCCGAAACGACACCGTCATAGAGGGCAGCACCGGCGGCCGGCGGCGGCGCCACGCGCTACTATGCGTGGCGCGGACTCGCTGCGTCCAAAGGCCGCTGGGTTCACGGCCTTGGCGGTGCGAAGCAGGCCCCACCAAAAGAAGCGTTGCCTACGTGCCGCACCCACTTATGACGTCAGCTAGACAGGAAACGGGTCAACATCTACTGGAAGGCCTGGTTTGAAATGGGCAAAGACTGGAAGTTCCAGTATTAGCTAAACATCATGATTACATAAATGATGAAATGAGCACTTCAACTTTCTTTAACGAGAGGAGCTTATGCACATCTTGCAATACACACATACACGTATAACATGCGCCGACAAGACCGGCCCACAGTGGAATAACCATTTAAACGCCGAGTGCAAACGCTATGTAATACACTTCCTCAACCGGGCAAAACAGCAACTGTCCGTTGAGGGCGCCCGCAAGCGCGAGCGCGCGTCTTGTTCACTGCGTAGCGTACGCTTAAGGAGGGCAAGGTGAAAGGGGCAAGCACAATCTCTCCGCATCCGATCCACCCACCGGGCACAACTTCGGTGCCTTTACACGGACTGACAGACCAGATGGATACAATCTGGACCATCTGCATCAAGCACGTACCAAAATAAGCATTTACAGGCAAACGTCACTGCACAGACTGGCGGCGGATAAATACGTCACAGGCCTTCCCACAAGGGACACACGTGTTCTCCACAAGGTGTCCACGACCAAACGGCCCTTAGACGGGACCAACCGTCAAACGACACTACTCAAAATGTGTCATATATCTGGGATAGTTTTTCGTGAGCAGTCCGCCAAACGCAATAAGTGAGCAGCAAACAAACAAAAAATCCTATCTATTAAAATACTGTCAGGCGACTTCGCGGTCTGCTAGCCAACTTTGCCTTGAGTTGCTCTGCACGCGTTTCTCCACCGGGCCGAAGTGTTTGAAGACGACTTGCAAATGATTTCGACTCTATTCCGGCGTACGGGCCGGTTAGCTGTCACGGACACGTGGCCGGTGCCAGGCTGAGCGGCCGCCTGACGCCAGAGCAGCATCGCTCTGACTGAAGAGCACGACAGCCTGTCGGATCTCCTGACACAAGACGACACGGGCCGCTCCACCGCCGCACAACCCCTCAATTTCGCACACTCTCCGGGCCGAAAGTAGAATAGCCAATTTATCATGGCAAACGCTGGTTGAGCTCTCTCAACTTGACCAAAGCACATCAAACCCCACAGAGCTGATACGCCCTCTCTGCCTCGACCGTTCCGTTTCCGTGCTCCAGCAGTGCAGAGAGCGACTGTCACCTGGTCGTCCTGAGTCAGCTACTGTCAGTGGCGTGCCGGGGGCGCACGAGTGTCCCGGTCTCCTCGTGCCGCGCCAGACCATGCCTCGAAGCCGACTGCCCGCTCGGAGCGCATCCTGAGTCGGGGGAGGGGCACGCTCCGCCAAGACCTGGCGAACACCTGGCATCGAGACGCGCTCGGTGTCTCTGAGCCAGGTGCTCGACTCGGAGACGGTGTTTGGTAGCCGTCTCCTGATACGTATCCACCAGGAGAAGACACGCCGATGGAGCTACCAGACATCGAGCCTTCCAGCCTTTCATTATCAGTTCATCAGCCACGAAATGACGGCTTTGTCGAGTGCACGTTAGCAAGGCTCATACGATTTTTTCATCATCAACATCCACGAAACTCCCTTGGCACGCACTGTTTATGAAAAAAATACGAACAAGTATTAAGAAAGTACAAACCGAACAGCCAAATGTATCCGGGCAGCACGTTTTGTTGTCCAGCGTTTGAATTGGGACGGCTCCAGGGCGCATCCTGTGGGTGGTTCATCGCTGACATTCCGACTTTCAGACCATGGCCTGCGCCGGGCAAATGGCGTCATTCCACACAGGCCGATGCCTTAATTGTTCCAGGATATATCCAGCTCAAGTGAGTGAGCTTTCTTGCCAGACGTAACAACAGGGCCAGCAAGGTAACTGCCCCCCTCCACTTTTCAGATGAAGGCTGAGTTTGGCTTACTTTCACACTACATTAAACATATATGCCGATTTACCTAGTTCACCAGTCATTTTTTTTCGTTTGCTCACTAGTCACTAGTAAGTGTTACAGCCGCAAGGCCGACACCGCGCGGCCTGTGGAGACTGCAACGCCGGGTATCGAAGCTGTCGTTGCTGACTTGCGAGCGCGCATGTTCAAACCATGTTACATAGTCTTTATCAGTACTCAATTCTGCCCTTATTGGACCACCTGCGGCGATCGGGGATGTTGTTGCGTCAGTGACGGTTTCTGTGCTGATCCAGGGCCAACTGCGCGGACCAGAAGGCCTCCCTTTTCAGAGATGGGAACAATTTGTTATGATATATCCTTTTAATGGCCTCAAGACCGATCAGGAGACCCCGCCCCGTGTCACCAGAATGACAGCCAAAAGGCACTTTGCGATAAGACGGAATGTCCCTTCAGCTTTTGGCTTCAAACGTTAACGTGCCCCGGGAACTCCACTCAAGGGGCCCTTGCCCGGAAAGAAATAAGGGTCTCAATGTTATTGAGTAGAGTGGTAGTCCCATTACTGTTAAATAGAGCGGATCGAAATAAGTTGTAAAAAAAACGCACAAGCCCATCCCAGTTTGGCTGAGAACGCTAATTTTTCCGAATGGGTCAGTAAAACAAATTACATCGACATGTTTGGACATGCCCGCCCACAACCTCGAGTGTAAGGACAGTGATGACCCTGGGTTGCACGTTCCGTAACGCCGAACGGCGTCGGCCACTGCAAGTGTCATGAGACGGCGGGCGCCGTGGTAATCTGTCTTCTGGACAGATTAACAATTACAGACACACCACGAAGAGAGACTCTACCTTTACTTTTCCAGTTCCCCCACCAGATTTCGGAGTCACCTTGTGGCGCTTTAACGGCCAATCCGTTCTTAGCATCAGCCTAAAAATCGCGCACGTGAAATATGAACGCACACTGTCTTCTAAATGTGAGATTTGATGTTCTGAAGCGTTCAAAGGCACTCCTTTCAGAAGCGTCATCATTTTCGAACACCCGTTGGCCACGGCTTAGTATTGACTGTTGGGCCAACGCTGCGCGGCTTCGGGAGACTGCAGCGGCCGGCGTCGAGGAGTTTTGTCGCTAAGATTTGCGCGTGCGCATCCTCAGTATTATGCCACAGAACTTGTATCACTCATCCATGCAAGTGTCTGAAGGCAATTATTTCAGAATTGCCATCATTTTCGTCCACCGATAGGCCACGGCTAAAAGTTAGTCACTGGGCTAACGCTCCGCGGACTATGGAGACTGCAACGCGTGGTGTGGGGATTTGCTGTTGCTAAGATTTGCGAGCGCGCATGTCAAAAAACCACGTTACGTTAATTGTATCACTAATCGTTTCTGACTGGATGTTGAACATTTCCAGCCAATCATGGCTTGCTCATAATGATACATCTTGTTCATCACTCGGTCCACAACCAAATTTTATTTTCAAATTTAGATCAAGAATATCGATCTACAATGTACCGTCGCGATGTTCTTAATATCTGTAGAGCTCAGACACAAATTCTGAGAAAGCTTCTGAATTCTATCGTTTCAGAAAGTCCACAAAGCCACTGTAAAGTAAGGGCGCCGGTGATTTATTTCGTGCAATCGCTCCCCTTCTAGTTTTTGCAGGTCATTGACTCCAAAATACAAACAGAATTAGTCTCACGGTAGCTTCTGTACTCCTGTTCTGGTCGCAAAGTATAAAAAACAATAAAACGAGGAAAATCGTGTCCATGGTTAACAAGTAGGCCGTATCCGGGGACATTTTAGGGAGGGGAGGGAGGTCACCACAATAAGGGTTTTTTTCAACACCGTGCTCCTCCTTGGCTAGGCTCCGGCTACGCCACTGCCTACACGCAAAACCAGATCAAGTTGTCTATGTTGAATGATGGACAATCAAATATCCGTTGGGCCAATTCATACCTAAGACCGGCAGCCTCTCGAAGCCTTTTTTCTCCGATTGTGTGGTATAAGGAAAGATAATTCGGAAAAAATACTGTTGCGGGTGTTATTATATTGATACTGTCAGTCATGCGGGAGACAGCCGGCTGAGGGCAGTGCCCGCCGACGGCGGACGGTAGCAGGGCCCAGGTAAGGGATATATGACAGAAGGGTCTCCATTCTGTGGCTTGGTTTTTAAAGGAGAAATTCCAGACGTATGGTCTTTGTCACACCATTTCTGGAAGTTTCAAGACTCCCAATTTGTTTCCGTCTAAAATACTGCAAGTCTTTTCTCTTGAAAGTGCGAAATCTTTTAAAAAAATTATTGAAAACCAGCCAGAGAAATGAGAGCGCATACACAATTTGTAGCACTGTGAGCCAATGATTCGCTTTCAAAATTATCACCAACCTATGTCCAGGCCGTATTTTAGCATTTACTCTGTTGAGGCAGATGCCTCCTCAATGAACCAAAATGTCTACCTGCGCGTGGAATTTCGCCTCCTCAGGAAAGACGATGCTGAAATGGAAGAATAATTCTGGGGAGCTGAACAGCCCTATTTGCCGAATGACATAGACCAGTTGAACAGACAAGATTGTGCACCAGTGAGAAACAGCTCTAGGTGCATATCTAGCAAAACAGCCACGACATTTGAATGAAAAACGACAACAGCCTCCATCTCTAACCCCATTGCCCCTCCCCCCCGCGGTCATCGGGCTGGCTTTTCAGAAAAGTTTCTGAAGCACGCTCTGAGCTTGGCGTCCCACCTTTTAAAACGTTCCTACGCCCATGTCCTCAAATGTATGAATAATTTGCTGAATTGTGTAGCCTTGAATATTTGCACTCTTATTTTATATATATATATATATATATATATATATATATATATATATATATATATATATATATATACGTACATATACATAATTTTTGCTGGGCACATACTCCTTAATCTTTCCAAAAATGGTGTTCTTAGTGTCTCCTTCACATTGTCCATGTTATGAAGTCCTCTAAAATTGCCTCACGGGGCGTTTTGTCTATGGCGTGGGTTATATACCCATGTCATGTTTTGTTTTCATGTCATTTCATGTCAGGTTTTGTCATGGCATGGTTTATATATATTATGGTTAACTGACTTCGCTGCCTCAAATATGACATGGGTTATAAACAGAGTCTTATACATGGAAGACAAGCGGCCTCTTCAGTGCACGCAGAATGGGAGCGCCAGACCGTCCCGAGAAAACCAGTCCGCGCAGTTGTGTCTCACCAATGGAAGCAATCCCACTGCTACCCAGGTGTTGTTTGTTGGCACAACCAACGTTGAAATTATCATGCAAACACAACCAGAAGCGAACAGCCAGTCTCTTATATGGCCAGTCAAATTTTCAGCCGTTTTTTGACCGCATTGCTACTTGCATATTTAGTCTGCATCTTTCTCATCCGATAGATGTAGTATATGGATATTAGAGCTCACGCAGCACTCATTGTGTGAAGCCCGAAAGCACCATTCAATTGTGGCATTGCGACTCAGCGAAAAAGTTCGCGCAAAAGTTCAAGGTACCACAATGCTCGGCATGGTCCGTCCAGCACCCGGACCTCATCTGACCTGGAGCGGCCGCTGCCACCGGCCACAAGGCACCCCAGGCGGCGGGAAACAGCGCGAGCGTGCGGCGGCTGGCGCGGTGATGACAATCATCGTTCAGAGAAACAACGACTCCCTTCGTCATTCTCCGCCCTCAGCGGCTGGGAGCCCCAGTCCGCCACGGCTGGGCTGGGAGGCACGCGCCCTCACCAACTGAGGTATGGGACGGCGAACTCTCGCATGCTCTCCACACAGATAGAGCGTCAGGTTGCCGGCCTGCCCAGCCCTCCCGCCAGCTGGCGGAGCGTCCATGCCATTCCGCGCTGAGTGCAACCCGTCGCGTCCGCACCGGTCCAAGGGCCGGGCAAGCCGCGACATGAGCCAACCCCGCCGATCTGTCCTGGAGCCCCCGACATAGAACATCAGACGGATGGCCAAGACCGAATAATCCGTGCGCCGCCGGTATAGGACGGCGCCATCCTGCGGGCGTCGGTGGCGCTGAGGCCGGCAGTCCGCCCCTCCCTCCCACCTCACCCCACTACACACAGGCCAGCCCGCTACTCCCTCCCACCTCACCCCACTACGCACACACTAGCCCGCTCCTGGCTCCCACATCACCCCACTACACTCACGCCAGCCCGCTCCTCCCTCCCATCTCACCCCACTACACACACACCAGCCCGCTCCTGGCTCTCAACCCACTACGCACACACCAGCCCGCTCCTCCCTCCCACAACACCCCACCCAGGTGGAGCCGCCCGTCGTGCATACGGTCATAGTTTTCCGTACACTGGAGGAGTCACACAGAGTGCTGACAGCGAAATCGGCAGCCGAACTAAAACAGTTCTTCAGCCTGAGGCCAGAAATGCTGCTCTCACGACGGCGGCAAGCCGACGTTGCCGAACCATTCAAACGAACGCGACATCACCGCAGTCACAACTCCTGAGCCGACCTCTACAGCGTGGAGCCCGGAGTGGGCAGCTGGGGCGTCGGGGCGGGGGGGGGGAAGGGGGCACCGATCCAGAGCCGTGACGCCTCCGAGCCGCGGCGAGTCGCGGCGGGCCGCCGGCCGGCGAATACCGGCCCGAATGCACTGACGTGGGGCGGCGGCGGCGCGGCTCCCATACTTAGTTTCGTCCTTGGTGAAGTGACGCACGCCGAACACCCGGCCGAGCGGATCGCCCTCGCAGATGACGCGGCTCCGGTCCTGCGGGTCCAGCAGGCTCGGCCGCCGCTGCGCCAGGTACCGGATAAACATGGTGATGACCTGCGGACGCGCACGCGGCGTCACCAGGGCCGGCCCACTCAGCGGCCAGTACACGGCTCGCCTCGGTTCGGCACTCCGCCGGCAGACCCGGCAGCGCGCCGGCGCCGTGATGTTCCCTACGCACGCCAGTATGGATGCTGAGCGAATACAACTGGCCGTCCACTCCATCTCGTTGTCAGCTTGGAATGTACCATGGCGTGCCCGCAATCGACCTAGTGTGCCCACAAAGCATCAACTGAGACATCGGCTTTGATGCCTCGCTTGTTTCGCTTGAACAGGGTGCGTGCCCTACTGCTGCTATAGATATGCTAAGCCCCGGATTCTTGAAGACATCAGACACACGAAACTGCTCATGGAATACTTACATCTTTCCACTTATATGGTTTTTCCCTTTGTGCTCCAACCTCAGCCAGGACATGGTAGAACTGCTCCTTCAGCCTATATTTTCTTTCTGCAAGAAATGACAATCTAGTCATGGTAAGAAATCCACAAAAGGAAATGAAGATGACAAATCGATGCATCATCCGATACACGGATTACCCTAATCCTATTCACAAGAATTTGTTTCTACCAAAAGGGAATCAAGATGTCCTCACAATAATCATATGCATACCATTCTTTTAGTAGGTTGCATTTATAATTAATTTTCGGTCACGGACTTTGCTAACGGAATGTTCAAGTTCACACCAGATGAAGCGGACACCAGATGACAGCCATTATTGACAGCTGTTTTTCCCCTGCAAACAAGTGATCAAATGGCAAACATTTCCCATACTCTGATCAAAAATTACAATAAATCACAGGCGATAAAACACACTAGCTCTGTACAGGTAGACTACAGTATTCTCCACTATAACATATTTCTATTCAGCAGATGTTTCAAAGCGCATGTGGATTGATTCACAAATTTTGTGATCGGGGTGATCTTTGGTTTCAGTTGCGTCCGGGACGTGCTCGCTAAACCGAACCCGGAAAGGCCTTTCTAAGTCGCCAAAACATGATACACCTTCCGCCCTACCTTTGGATTGTGTTTTGCCCTTTCGCCTTTTATTTATTGTTATTTGTTCGGTCAAAATGTGAAAGATGTGTGCCATTTGATCACGTGTGTGCTGGATAAAAGCCCGCCGTCAACACGGGTTAGAATCTGGTGTCGCTTTATTTTCAAAATTTTCGATTCTGTAAGAAAGGTCCTGACAGAAAATTAATATAGAACACAATCTACCTTATACGGATGACATGTGTACTTATTGTCAAAGGGTTATCTCAATTCCGTTTTAGTACCTACCGTGCCTTACACTGCACAAGCACTGAAACATTTTAGAGTTAAAGAATATGCTTCTCTCACTGGGCAACACATTTGGGCAAAGCACATTGATCACTCGATCAAATTCGATTAAGTTGATCGATTTACGTGCTCTGCAATCGTCCCGACTGTATTCATAACTACACAAACAATGCTAGGCAGCAGCCGTATTGAAAAGATAGTCATCCCTGCCGACCGAACCACATGCCTGAGCGATTTTCAAGGTTCCGCTCACTGCGGTTTATGTTACGAGGACGTGACACCGAGGCCGTTTTTGTGACGATATTGGTCGCTTCCCATTCGATCATTGACGTTCCTTGGAATGGGAAGTCCCGTGTTTGGAATGGGAAGTCCCGTGCTCGCTATATTTATAGACGATGCGCGTGCCTCCACTGTGGAGGCGGGTGCAGGCCACCACCTGTGCTGCTTGCCGAGACTTGACACCAATCCTACACAAAGCGGAAAGCCCATCGACCCAAGGGCACTCCAGCGTGCGTGACGCGCTGTATGCAGTGGCGGACATGTGCGCTAATACGCTGGCCGTGTCTCTTCAGATCACAGTATGTTGACCGTGTGTAGTTGGGGTCAAACGTTGTCGACACCATGACCTGACCCAGTGTCGAGTGTTGCAAAGCAATTTGAACGCCTTCAAATTTGACATTTATAGAGCACAATTAATGCAAACTGGGCTCACGCGAAGCAAATAAAATGCAAAACAATCAGGTTATTTTGCAATGTTGCACCTAAGACATGCTTGTATGCAGACATGTTTGTAAAGACATTTCTTGGCAATACCGGAAGGTATATTGTGCCTGACCATGCGTTGCAACTTTCGTCGCTGTTCTGGTAATGGTCATGCCCAACAACCAACATTTTGGCTCATGTTGGGTTGACTTCTGTTGCAAACTATAATTAAATTTTCGCTCACTTCAGCTGGCAACTGCAACATGGATAACTTTGTCGGATAAGCAGCCTTTTAAATGCAAATTCCAAACAAAGTGGGTGGAGGCTAAGCAAACGTGCACTTTTCAATATCAATGAGACATGAAATGGCAGAAATAATGCGTCAAATAATGCTGCACAATAACACAGGTCGCTGATAAGGCTTGACCTTGGAGACCCGTCAACTGCAGCTAACTGCAGAAGTATACAATTCTTTAGTAACAAACTATACAAAACTGCGGTCTCACGCATGATTCGGCCATTTTGACAAAATTCATGTGTGCCTTAGCATGGCTTTGAGAGCTGACAAGTGACCTTCTTTGATCTTGAGGACACCCACAATCCAAATCTTAATAAAAATCAATGGGGATAAGTCAATGAGACATAGATAACTTTATTCCCAGTGACCTAATTCATGCAAAAGCTCAGTATGCAATGTCAATTATTTACATGCTTGTATATGTGCAGCCTGCAGTGATCCATTGCGTCTCCTGAAAAATTATATTTTATTGATCCACTTTGAAATGACCTCGGTAACTCAGGTAAGCTGAAATATAACATATATGCTATGCACACTTGCTTTTGAGACTAAATGAGATAAACAAGTTAATTTGTTACGCTGAGAACAGCCCAACCTTCAACGCAGTGAGAGGAGCTGGTTAAAAGAAATGCTACACATCTGAAGATGTTGAAGCACCACATGTGATGGTAGAAGCACACTTGTAACTGGAAAAGACTGCTCTAGATTCTAAACATAAGTCTTCTGTTTAGTAAACAAGCCGCTCAACATGAAATTGTCGGATTATATCATTGTACCTTGCACACCACTAATTGAGAGCTAATCGATGACATATATCTGTAAATTGTGTTGAAGACCATCATATATGAACAGCTCAACAGTCATGTCCTTGAGATATGCATTCATTAGAATTGGCAGTACCCATATTGACTTATCAAGATTGGTGCATTGCACCATAGAAAATGTATTGTACCATAGAAAATAGATGACTGCGTGTCCCACCAACAAATGATTGTCCAAAAAATACTACCATCGTAACCTGCGCCAGCAATCATGGTTTGCTCACTCGAAACCTTTATTCTTGAACTATAACATGCATATGAATCTTGCCCTGAACTCACCGCAGTGGCCTGATATTACCATTTATGACTGAAATTGGCAAGTAAGAACAATTGTCTTTCCTTCTGCAATGCAAATTATTTAATCACAAAAGCTCCCCCAACAGATACGCTGGTTTGGAGTTTAACACATATCAACTGTAAATGATCATGCAGCACTGATAACTTGGCATCACAAAATCCTCCCATGGCGTCCGTGTCTGAAACTTTGGTGCTTCTTGTTGATTTGAGCTCCGACACATTTTGTTCTGCACAAATATACACTGGAAAGAATGTACGATTTGTTCTCTGCGAGTGACGTCAGATGAAGGCAAGCTGTTCCTGCAACTTCGACGGCATCGCGCGCCACACTCACGACTGAACGAGGGATACTGCCTGCGGGTTACAGCCGAATCTCTCTGCCATATCACACGCAATCTCTCCTTGCAATGCATTCAGTGCCAAGGACAGGTTTAACCCACGCACCGGCCAACAACGACACCAACGCGCCCATACGTGGCGCACGAGCCCGCACTCAAAACAACAGCGTCTCTTGACGGACCAGGGAGAAATGCAGAGAACATCTCGTATGTGTCCCGTGGACCAGACTGTCTGCCGTGGAGCGGTCGGGGCGGAAGCCATTCTGAAAAGGTGAAAGGTGATTCGATTCTAGGAACACCCTGATACGACCGTAGGCCATTCGTTCAAATATCTTATAAGCGCAGCTAGGAGAGATGGGGCGATAGCTGGAAGGTTCAGGGGGAAGCCTAGAGGGCTTAACTATAGAGACAAGAGTGCTAGAGCGCCATGAGGGAGGGAAGGATCCGTTAACCCACAGAAGGTTGATGAGTACAAACCTAGTGAGATTTCTGACGAAGGGGTAGGCTAACTGGTCTGGATCGACAGAAGTGATTTCGCACTTACTGATCGCAAGGTCTAATCCGTAAGGTGTGAAGAGTGCGTTGAATGTCTCAGTGTTAGCAGATGTGAAGTTGAGTGCGAGCAGCGTGGCATTAAGTGTGGGAGTGATCTGGTGGGAATACCGTTCGGATGATGATACACGGGCGAAGCGTGCGGCTAATTTTGTGGCGACTTTGAATGGGACGCTGTAGTGTTGGTGGCTGACTACAATGTGCGGGGTTTTATAATGTGGCGTGTGTTTGTTTGTGAAACACCGAACCGGTGAACATTTCTTAGATAGGGGGGTAAAGCGGTTGAGCGTATTTGAAAATTGCTCCCAGCTTTCCTGTTTTGCACGTTAAATGATTATATGGGCTTCATGTTTAGCTCTGCGAAACGTTTCTTCATGAGCTATGCAAGTGCGATTACGAAAGGCACGCATAGCACGGCGTCGTAAAGCTACTGCGCGCTGACACTCATCGTTTCACCAGGACGCATGCTTGTGCACTGGTCGACGATGAGTGTGTGGAACAAACTGGTGCGCTGTAGTCAGGACATTGTCTAGAAATGTGGGGAGTTTGGGAATTGTGCCTGGATGGTGTACCTCATCTATTTGATTTTGGAAAGATGCCCAGTCCGCTTTGCGAACATTCCATCGGGGAAGTAAATTAAAGTCTGTTTGCCCTCATTGGACCTCTACATTCATGTGGATTGGGTAATGGTCACTAATAAGCGGGTCCGGTTGAACATTGTGCGTAAAGAGTGGTGCTACGCGTGGTGTTGTCAAGGCCACATCTATACCAGCGTGCGTCACTGTGCCTCCGTGGTGATGAGCATGCGTAGGCGTCAGTTCGTTGATACATATGAGGTCGTAAGTGTCCATGAGTGTGCGTAAAACTCTCCCCTTGTTTGCGTCGTGTTACAACCCATGCGCGGTGATGGGCGTTCAGATCCCCAAGAGGGAGACAGAGCGAGGGAATTTGTGTGAGTAAGGCGGAGAGAGCAGCTGAGGAGACAGGGTTAGTAGGGCTAAAGCATATAGAAATAAGAGTAAGGGCTAACTGCGCTAACTTTAAGTTCATTGCGACTGAATGGAAATTATTATTAAAATGAACTTGACGATGCAAAAGGTTATTTGAGACAAACAAGCCCAACGGCCTCGGCGCGTTGTTTCGTTTACGTTATGTGTGTAGAGGCAGTAACCGTTGATCTTAAGGCTATAATTAAAAGAATCCAAGTTCTTAAATAATGTTGATTGGACGGTGGCTATCAGTGGTTTGTTTTTGATCATATATTCCTTGAATTCTGCCCAATGGGATACCATAGATCTCGCATTCCATTGGAGCAAGAATTCGCCGAACTGGGGATTCATTTCGTGGGATTCATTCAGTGTGGAGAGAGACCATCCAGCGGAACAGCGGTGACAGGGCGAACGAGGGGCGCGACAGCCGGAGCGCGTAACGGGTCGGGCTCGGCGCTCAAGTGAGGGACTGACCCGGGAGGTTGGCGTCTGGGGGCGCGGCGGATGGGGCATCGGATCGGGCTAGTTGGGACGCCGGTACGGGGGGGGGGGACCAAGACCGGTGTGTTGGGGTGAGAGGTTCTCCGAGTTGGGTGAGACGGGTCCCTGCTCAGGGAGGCTCGCAACCGCCGGGTTCGCCGTAACTGGGTCAGCTGGCGCGTGCTCCATCGTACGCCGCACCAGACGCGGCTGACCTGCTGGGGAGGGGCGGCGTGCTGGGGAGGAGCGCTGTGCTGAGGCACAACGCTGGCTCGGCATCTCGGGCTCCTCAACAGTACGCGGTGGAGGGAGGGGCGCCGTCGCGGAGCTGTTGTTAGAGCGGGAGGATGAGGGTGCGCCTCCCGCGGCGTGGGCCACTCCTGAGGCTGGAGCACTCGGACGGGTACATGGGCCGCTGCCGCTGCCTGCTGCTGGCGCTCCCGCAGCGCCCCGCGCTGCATACGCCAAGCGGGACAGGCGCCGCGGTCCCGAGCTGTGTGCGGGTCTTTGCATGTGGCGCAGCGCAGGTTTTCCACGTCACACTCGCGCGTGTGATGGGGATCGGCACAGCGGCCGCAGGTCGGGCGCGCAGGCCGGCAGGTCCGGCCAGTGTGGCCGAACCGTTGGCACGTGCGGAACTGCTGGGGAGGAGGGACCCAGGCCTTTACCGGGACCATGAGGTATCCGCAGGGGAACTTTAAGCCCTCTAAATCGCGGGCGGACGAGTGGGTTGGGGCCCAGGCCAGGCGGCGGCAGGGCAGACGCATAACCTCGCACACCGCCTGCCCGGTCAGCTCCTTCAATACCTCGTCATCCGACAGCTCGGTCAGCTCCGGCCTGTAGACGACAGCCTGGATGGTGTTTAGGCGGTCTGCCATGGTGGCTGTGACCGCCCGCCCCAGAAAACTGCTTAATTTGAGCGGGGCCTCTGCCTGGCGCTCCGAAAAACCCTAACTAGGAGGGCTCCCGAGCGGAGCGGTTTGGCTGCATCCACCTCGCCGGCGTGGAGCTCAAGTTCCCGACGGATGGCGAAAGCGTTCGTGGTGCGGAAACTTTTCCCGTCGACGTTTTTGATGAGCACGAAACTGGGTCCCTCCAGAGGGAAAGTGGAGGGAGGTAAACAAGCCAATCGCCGGGGAGAGATGCTGACATCTTTTGAGCATTAACCTTAACTTAAACTAACTCATGAACTGGTCATTACAACGACTGAAAAATAAACAGCACGATTCCAACACACCTTAAGCTGTCGCGAGCAAAAATGCGGATCAGTGACCCGCCCGTTTGTCCTTACAGCGCCTGGCAGGTGTAAGTACCTCCTGGCGACGAGAAGGGAAGGAACCTAAATTATGGCGCGAGTACTGGACATCGAGGGCGTTTGTACTAATTACTGTTTTGAAATGAAGATAGGCACGACAGAATACAATCAGTGATACCAGGGCCATGTGTGATGGACTCTTAACAAAAATACCACCACCACACTGTCCCACGACAAAACATTAACACAGAACCGGAGCGAGGCTGAGACACTTGAGCCGCGAGCCGCGGAAGGCTGGCGACGGGCGGCTCCGTCGTGGAAGACTGCTATTGCGTGCGCGCCATTTATGTAGCCCACCAGCCTTGTTTGGAGGAGCCGCGCGCGGAGCGGAGGCAGCGCCACTGGTGGGTAGTATAGATAAAGGCAATATATAAATTTAGCTTAGTGTCATACACTGACAAAAGTATTGCATCAGACTCAACACCAGTGAGCGATGCTAATTGTGCGGCTGGATTGCTCTGTGAGAAGGAAATGACTCTTCCGCCCCTGCTGCATTGACCTCCGAGCCCCGATCACTCAGCAACTGGACGTCCCGGGTGGTGTACCTTTGGACATTAATTTGTGGGGCGGGTGATCAAAGAAACCTTTTATCCCAAATAAATGGTGCAAACCTTGTTCTCCCCGGTTTTGACCAAGTTTTCTTCTCAAAGTTGGGGAGGGGCTACCATCTTATCCAACCAAGTAGGAAATTACACGCCTGGTCCCAAATTAAGCGTATCTAGGTCGGTAAAAGACTTGGCGGGCATCACGTTGCCCCAGAATCTTGTCTTTGGCTGAGAAAGATTGTACCTAGACTAGAATGCAGCTGCACTTACCATCATGCCTCAGATGCTCCTACTTATACTGTGACATTTTTATACATGACATTTCAATTATAAACTTGTTATAATGCGCTCTAAAATTTTTCAACAGGTGCGCAGCATTTTAAGTATCTGCTTCCATCAGCCTTTGTCGGGCCTGACACCTTTACAATAGAATTATCAATATCAACAACTCTCTATCCATTTCTATAGCTTCTGAGAGATGTAGTAGGTGCGAGCATAGACTTAGGAAGGAAACACTCACTTAGGAAGCTAGAAAAGTTAAGAACTGCAAGTAGACAATCTCCAGTGGTCTTTGGCAATCACCGAGACCAGCTGGAGCATGGTGTCTACTGTCATGCGCTGCCGAAGAATGTCCTTCCGTGCCGGCTGTGAATGCAGTGCAAATTCACCTGGGTTATTTTGTTCTCACTACAAGCCGTGGTGTTAACGTTATTGTTCTCTACCCCAAGAGCCAAAACCAAATTTCATATACTAAATGGCATTGTTATCTGGCTGATTGTGAGGGCTGTATACGCCAGGTGTCGTGATAAAAGGCACTTACTGCTTGCCACTTGTGCTGCATCCATCACGGCATCTGAAAAGAGATAAATACAAGTGTTAACTTAGCACAGCCAGAGTGTGATTTCCTCTCATACAAAGACGCCACAGGAATCGATGCACCATAGGGGCATGACGTTCCAAAGAGCAGTACAAGTTTTCAACAAACAAAAAAGACGTACCTTGCTAAACTAAACAGATGCCGACAGCGTCTGAACTCGTATGCGTCACGCTTCAACGTTTCTGCATAGCATGTAGAAACTATCGTAACACAATGACAATTGACACAAGAGTATATGATGTCCCACTAACATGCACCTTTAAGTATACGGTGAATTAATCATATATTAATGAATACATTATTTTCAATGCATTTAAAAAAGTACTCTTATTAAGTTTGCATTTAAAGCTATCAAAAATGGATACGGTATAGAAGGTATAATGGTGGCGTGACAAACACCATCCCAAACGCTCGCTCGGGCACGCGGAAAACCCCGGCTCCGCGAGTCTCCGGCTCTTGGGGAGGATTTAGCATTGGAGAAGGCATATTCTCCACCAAGAAATCCGAGCTGAATACGTGATCAAAAGGCATAAAGAGACATTGAACAAATACATGGAATATCTTCTATCGATCTATAGAGCGTCGCAACAAAATCATGATCCGAGTATAAAGCTAAGGCAGCGTATCTTGTTCTCCGTTGAGAACTTTTGGCTCTGTGTTTAAATGATGATTTAATTTTTTTTGGTAATCTACATGTTATTTGAAACGGGCTGTACCAATGAACATTTTTAATGAAATTATTCAGGTCCTAAAAAGCAACATCAAACCCGATAACGAAGTTACAGCGGCTCTGTCGTGGAAGACTGCTATTGCGTGCGCGCCATTAAGGTAGCCCACCAGCCTTGTTTGGAGGAGCCGCGCGCGTAGCGGTAGTGGCGCGACCGGTTGGTAGTATAGATAAAGACAATATATTAATTTCGGTCATCGTCATACACTGAGAAAAGCATTGTATCAGACTCAACGCCAGTGAGTAGATGTGGCAATGCTAACTTTGAGCTGCTGGATTGCTCTGCGATGAGGAGATGATTCTTCCGCCCCTGCTGCATTGACCTCCGAGCCCCGATCACTCAGCAGCTGGATGTCCCGGGTGGTGTAGTTCTGGACTTTACTTTTTAGAGCGGGTTGGCAGAGAAATCTGTTGTCCCAAATAAATAGTGCAAACCTCGTTCTCCCCCGTTTTGACCAAGTTTTTTCTCAAAGTTGAGGAGAAGCTACCATCTTATGTAACTAAATAAAAAATTATACGCCTGGTCTCAAACTAAGTATATCTAGGTCAGTAAAAGCCTAGGCGAGCATCATGTTGCCCCAGAATCTTTCCCTTGGGTGAGAAAGTTTGTACCTTGGCTAGAATGCAGCTGCACTTACTACCATGCTCCAGGTGCTCCTATTCATATTGTGGCTTGCATGACATTTCAATCATAAGCTTGTCATAATGCGCTCTAGAATTGTTCAATAGGTGCACAGCATTTTAAGTATCTGCTTCTATCAGCCTTAATTGGGACTGACACCTTTGCAATAGAATAAGCAATGTCAACAACTTTTTATCGCTCCATAGCTCAAAGAAACACAGCAGGTGTGAAAATACACTTAGGGAGGAAGCACTTACTTAGGAAGCTTGAAAATTTAAGAATTGTACGTAGCTAACTTCTAATTATGTCTGGCGATCACCGAGACCAGCTAGAGCATGGTGTTTGCTGTCATCCGCTGTCAAAGAATGCCTGGTGCCAGCTGTGAGTGTCGAGCAAATTCACTTAGGTTATTTTGTTTTCACTACAAACCGTGATTTTAACGTTTCTGTTCTCTCCCACAGGAGACAAAACCAAACTTCCGATACTGGATGGTGATAATAACCAATTCCAAATTCCACGAATCTTCCAACCAATTATCAACCGAGGCCCTCTTAAAAATTGCAATGCGAACCGTGTAAAATGCGGTGTAATAGACGCAATGGCCACTACAATGACCTATTACAGAGAGAGGTGAAACCGTCCGGCGATCTCGCTTCATCTCCGCAAACACTAGCATGACGTCATTGGCGCCAAGATTTGAATTACCGAGGCTTTGAAAGTCCATCAATTACACACAATATTTCTTTCACTTCGGAACATGGCGCACAAAATGTGTTGTTTCCATTTCTCGACGCCCTTTTGGTGGCAAAACCAGGTAGAAGACATGTCGTCAACGTGAACGTTGCATCACCCTATCCCGTCCTAATATATCAGCTGCAAAGAGCGTTTTCCCTCCGATTTGCAGGCCTGTGGCAACATGGGTTTGAGTCGATTTAGACGTTTGATCTTTGTCCCCCGACTGCAGCGGCCTGCGGCCGGTGGCTGCGCTAACCGTCAGGTAATGTCAGGTGGCAGGATAGACCGCGCCGAGCATTGCGGCATGTCAAGCTTTCGGCGCAAAGCTCTGCTTTGACCCGTAAAGATACGGTCGGGGTAGGGCTCGACAGACACGACTTAGCGTGTTAGCTCGCCCCAGACATACATTCAGTCAAAAGGTTCTGGCTAAATACAAGAAGTTCATGGCCACCTCAACTAGACTGCCTTGGAATTCCGCAACCACACGGCTACTACGAACGTGATCCCCACGTCACAAACGGAGAGAGCGGGTGTGCGTATCTTCTGATAACTAGCCGTGCCAACGTCGACGCGCCCTGTTTCCCTTATTTTTTCGGTGAGAACGGATACACGGGGGCACTGGGTGAGGTCCTCCTGGCAATGCCACAAGTTCTCGGTATAGCAATGCATCGGGCTCGTAAGAAGTCGTAGAAAGGTGGAATAAGCAGGCGTTTTCGGTGTGAGAGCGCCGCTCATGCAAGGCAGCCCAGATGACAGTCAACTCACATTAACTTGACAGGGACTAGTGCATATCTAGCATAACCAAGCGCTGTGGTGCCATTCGAATGGTCATTCGATGACAAAATGTGAGAAAAAAACAATGCGTCATCACCGATCTCACCTTCGTCAAATCTTAACTCTGCAAAAGATGCGTCTTTGAGGACTGAGGACGAGTATCTTGTCAACATCACCTCAGAGTGCCACATGGCTACCGCTTGGATACCCTTCAGGGCGACCCCGGGGCGACTTCAAGGATCTATCGGAACGAGGAGTGGCTCCAACACGACGGGGCGACACCAAACACGCCACAGGCCCCTTTGGATCGGTTCGAGAACCATTCCGCCAAGATGCACATCAGCTTAAGACTGCCGTGCTCCGGCTTCCCACTCTCGCCCAACCAGCCGCCCCATGGACTTCATGCTGTGCGCCCCATAGCAGGGGGGTAACCCCAAGAACCACGGCCAGGCGGACAAGCCAGCGAACTGTCATAGGCTTAAGGCCACCTTCAGACATAATATGGCACGCATCGCTGTGGACCATCGACAGCAGGTTTAGCTCTTGCACACCATGGGTTGCCAGGGGGCCGTCTGGAGCATCTGTTGTAATC